TTTTACCCCGCCCCTCTAGACCATGTCTACTCAGGGCGGCTTACATAAATAAAACAGAACCATATAAAATATATAAAATCAAAAATTACAATTAAAACAGGTAATTAGAAGAATACATTACCAAATCTACTCAGGGCGGCTTACATAAATAAAACAGAACCATATAAAATATATAAAATCAAAAATTACAATTAAAACAGTTAATTAGAAGAATACCTTACCAAGATGGCATGGCTCAAAAGGGGAGAAAAATAAGAATCACTTAACTGACTTGGGGGAAGGCCTGCTTGAATAGCCAAGTTTTTAGCTGGCTTTTGAAAACACCCAGCGAGTGTGCCAGCTGAATATCCAATAAAACCCAAAAGACAGAAAGAGAAACAAGGTGTCTGGAATAGGTAACAATATATGGTATCTTTACTGCGTGGTGAAAAGCTTAACGTGCTTCGGCAGGGCCTTCACCAGAAGCTTAAAAATGAACAAAATTACAAAATTATAAATGTATACATATCAGGTATGTTCTTATAGGCAATTATATGACTCAAGACCTTTAGTCTTTAATGGTGTTTTTTATCCTCAGTCCCAGCTACTTTTGCTCCTTAATCCTTAATTAGAATTGTTAGGAACTGGACCTCGCTCTGTGTGACACCTCTGTGCTGCAGCTTCTCTTTCATTTCATCTGCAGTGGTGTGGAGTCCTTGAAACATACTGGCTCAATCTGTTTTTCTTTCTCTTAGGATAATTTGGAATTTCGACTGCACTTACGATATGAATTTTTAATGCTGGGCATACAGCCTGTTATTGACAAGCTCAGAGGACATGAAAATGCAACGCTGGACAGGTAAACTGTGTGCTGGGGAAACGTGTGGCAGGAGATTGCTGTTTAACTGATGGCTAGAGGCAGGCAACCTGACTGGGAAACAAGTTAATAGTTATAGGCACATTTGAGCAAATTTGTATTCCAGTCCAGTTGTTTTAGGGTTTTTAGAAGTGTCACAATTGAGAATCCATATGTAGGGCTATATAGCCAATACAATCTATTCTAGTTCTGATACTGCACCAATGAGCTCTACTGATAGGTGCTAGAATCAATGTGTGTTGAAAAACTGCAGATTTTCTCCTACAAGACTTGGATGCATATGTAATTGGGTGTGATTGCGGGAAATCCATAACCAAGGATAAGCAGCCTGATGCCTTCCAGATGTTTTGAGCTTAACTCCTGCACCATCCCTGACCATTGTCTATGTTAGATGGCCTTACCAAAGAATATAGTCCCATACATCTTGAAGATACCAAGTTGAATGCCCCTAAAATGCCCTATGCAGTATTTATGTGTACTGACCCATCTATATGTTCTTCCTTAGATGATCATCCATTGATGCCAACTCTTGTATGTTCTAATGGTTTCTCAGTTGATCTTTCAACCTACAGTAGTACCTTGGTTTACGAATACCTCGGTTAATGTAATTTTCAGTTTATGAATGGAAATCCGTTGAAAATAATGGCATAGTTTATTGGGGTGGGGGTGGGTTCTTTTCAGTTTGTGAAGAAAGTTTCCCTAGGATTCATTGTGCCTGGAGGTTTATAGCACCGCCCCCATTCCTATGGCAATCCATGTTTCGGTTTATGAGTTTTTCGGTTTACGTAACGTCCCGTAGAACCCATTAAATTAGTAAACCAAGGTACTACTGTAGTTGAAATAACCATTTCACTCTATACTACATTGTCTATATTGGATTTAAATCCAGCAAGTACTTAAATTTTCATTTTGTGGGAAGGCAAATGTTGTGAAAATGGAAGCTTAAACTAAACTCATCAGTAAGCTGGATTAAGTAGAAAGTATTGCCTTCCCTCCTTTTACTTTACTGTTTAATGGAAAATAGACTCCAAATGCCCATTCATCTTGCACCTCTGTGAACAAGAGCATTTCTTTTGTTTTACTATCTTCTAGGCACTTAGACTTCTTTGAAATGGTCAGAAATGAAGATGACTTGGAACTTGCAAAGAGGTTTGAAGTGGTAAGTATCTTTCTATAGAGAGATTTCTTTTGTTAAGGAAAACCTGTGTGCTTTATTTGTGCAGGATAGATTCATGTATTTTCTTTTTCTAGGTAAGGACCTAGTTTTCTCACAAGAAAAGTGAATCTGTGTTCTCTTATTTACATAGCAAATAATAAAAAAGGATTAGCAAGGAGTGTAGTAATAGATTGCATTTAAATCTTGATATTGTGCGTACCCTATGCTGTTATAGAGAGCTGATTCCATTTTAATTGTCCTATAAAATACTAAGGTTTGCCATTTAGTGAGGAACTTAGAATTCTCTACTAGGGAGCTTCTCTGAACTACAGAAGAGAATTTTTAAGCACTTCGCCAGACTACAAGTTTCCATGGAGGCATAGTAGTTCAGGTGAAATCAAACCACTATAACTGTGTAGCATAGAGAGAATCTTGGTGTCTCCACTAGACTTTTGTGTAATGTTGACTGCCTTGGTCTAGTTAGCTCTAAATCTGTTTGTTGCTTAGTTGGCTGATCTAGGTGTTTATACTCTTAGAGTACTGAAGTGGGCAGGTTGTGTTTTTTTTTTTGTTTTTTTTTTGTTTGTTTTTTTGTTTTTTATTACTGGCTTGGCTCATGAGATTGTTGCTATGCTCCATTCCTTATAATCCTGTATTGGTTCGCCTGTCACTTGCCAGCATCACAATCAGCCTATTTTCTATTTCCCCTTTTCTTATTGAGCTGTTTGTCCACCCACAATTGGAAGACAGTCTATTGTGGGGAAAAAACCTGGGTTCCTAAACCTGGGTGTTCAGAATGACACCATTCCCATCTCTTGCTGGCTTGGCTCCATGGTATAAATTCCAGCTCTGCGAGAGGTTTTAGGGCAGCTGCTAAATTCAGCACCATTAGTTTTAGGGCCCCAATGGACAGCTCCCTGTTCTTTGAGGAAAGCGCCTGCCCCTTTTAACTCTTCAGGCTTCAATAGAGCCCTTTTTAGATAGAATCCTGAAAGGTCCAAACTTTTGAACAAATAAGACATAAAGTTAATACCATCTTGTAGTTGCACCGTTCCACCTCTTACCAGAACTGTTCATCTGATAAATCTTATTGCTACTTTCAGAAGCAGCTGAAACATTGATTGATTAGATTGGATTTGTATACTGCCTCATTAGTGTAAAGCACTATTCTGATTGACTTACAGCAAAATAATAAAACACATCAATGAGCTAGAACTCTGTGTTCTGGTGTAGTGTGTGGGATTGTTGAGTATTTGTAGCTGTGGGATCAGGCTTTGTTTTTTTTCAGGAGATTGGGTGATTATTGTGATCAGGGTGTTTTTTGTTAAAATTGGATTTGTATACTGCCTCATTAGTGTAAAGCACTATTCTGATTGACTTACAGCAAAATAATAAAACACATCAATGAGCTAGAACTCTGTGTTCTGGTGTAGTGTGTGGGATTGTTGAGTATTTGTAGCTGTGGGATCAGGCTTTGTTTTTTTTCAGGAGATTGGGTGATTATTGTGATCAGGGTGTTTTTTGTTATGGGTGTATTGTTGTGATAAGGAAAAAGATGATTTGTCATTGTGTTTGACGGGTGTTGTTAGCTAGTCTTTTGTGTGCAGTGATCACTGGTCCATGTGGCTGGGTAGAGTTCACTGAGCTTTTTGCAGGCTGTATTTCTCAGTGCTGGGAGCCAGGCTATGTTGAGTTTTAGGTTTTCTTCTTTTTTTGCTGAAGCTGGGCTGGTGTTTGTGGATTTCAGTGGCTTCCCTGTGTAATCTAACATAATGATTGCTGGTGTTGTCCAGTAATTCTGTGTTTTGAAATAGAATTTTGTGTCCAGCTTGTTCTGGGGCATGTTCAACTACTGCCAGTTTTCCCGGTTGTTTTAATTTGCAGTGTCTTTCATGTTCTTTGATTCTGTTCTTGATGCTGAATTTTGTGGTCCCAATATATATCTGGCCACAACTGCAAGGCATCTGGTATACTCCTGCAGTGGTGAGGGGATCCCTTTTGTCCTTTGCTGACAAAAAGACACCCTGATAACATTCATTCATTCATTCATTCATTCATTCATTCATTCATTCATTCATTCATTCATTCATTCATTCATTCATTCCAAAATGCCACAGTGAGACTGTTCAATGGAGCTAGTTACAGGGAACATATAACTCCCCTTTTAGAACAGTTCCACTGGCTGCCAATCCATTCCTGGGCACAATTCAAAGTGCTAGTTTTTACTTATAAAGCCCTAAATAACTTGGTTCCAAGCTATCTAAAAGACTATATCTCCCTTTATGAGGACATGGGAGACGGCCTTGTCTATCACAGCTCCAAAGTCTGAAACTCTCTCCCACAGGAGGCCAGGTTAGCACCGTCTTTGCTGTCCTTCCATAAGCAAAGATCTTTCTCTTCCAGCAGTCTTTCCTTTAAATTACTGGTTGACAAGGAGAATTTTTTGAAGGGATTATTTTATTCTGTTGTTTGAGCTGTGTTTTTAATATTGCTCTTATTCTGAGTTTTATATATCTATTTAATGCTTTTATAATATCATAATAAGTTATTGTTTAGCTTTTAACTTTGTTTCTTTTAATACTGTAGGCCACCTTGGATCCTTTCAGAGAAAGGAGGCATAAAATATTTTAAATAAAATTAATAACTAAACAAGTTTTGTTTCTTTTAATACTGTAGGCCACCTTGGATCCTTTCAGAGAAAGGAGGCATAAAATATTTTAAATACAATTAATAACTAAATAAATTTAAATTAAATATGAAATTTGAAAAACAAATCCATAATAATCTAGTAATCTGGGGATAGGTTCAGAGATTAAAATAGAAGCATTAAGAAGAAAACACAGACAGTCTAAACAAAGTTACTGGGAGACTAGGAGCTCATCTGAGCTTGTATTGATATTTAATTCATTGTGATGAATCTGACTATTTATAAACCCTACAGTTTTTAATCATTTTTAGTATTGTTTCCATTTTATTTGTTTTTAATGCTCCTATCACTGAGCTTGTATTTGAGGTTTTTTTTAAAAAATTTATAATGATTGTAAGTTATCTTGAGCCTTACCTAGAAGGAAATGGTAGGAATGTGGTAAATATTAATAGACTAAATCCTGTTGAGTTTTTACACCAACATCAATGATGTAAATCTAATTGATGAACCTCTGCAAGTTAAGAAGCTAGTGCAGGCATTTGCTCTTGTGTGCTAAGTTGCATGATTACCATTACACTGACTTCTTAATTATGACAATTTGGCAATAGAATTTTTTATCAGTTGCATTATACTGGTGAATTTGGCCATTAATTGATAACAACAAAGCAAACCTTGGAAAATTTTGATTTTTAGACTGCAGTTTCCAGAATCCTCCAGGCAACACAGCCAGTGGGCCATGTTAGTTGGGGGATCCTTGGAGAGATCGTCCCCAAAAGTAACATTTCCACGCTCTGCACTGTATATAGAAAACCACTCATTTTACCTAAGACTATAGCTTCTTTCCACATGAGTAGTATCTGTTGTGGAGGGAGGCAAGAGGCAACCTATGTTTCTATACATACAGATCTCTTTAATTCTTTAATCCGTTTAATTATTGTTTTTACATCTACCTTCTTCCGTACAGATATTCTTGTCATTATTTGTTCTTTCCGTGTTTCAGTTTCTGGAATGTATAGCCAGCTTTTAATTACAAAAGTCATTTGTAAATATTTCATGTGTGCCCTCTACCTCTCTGTTAGCTGCAAAGCAGTTATGTCATACAGATAAAGGTAGGATGGAGGAAGTTTGAGTTAAGAAGAGTCCACTTCTAATACCTATTTGACAATTATGAGTGAAACCTCTATAAGGCTGCCATCTCAACTCTCAAAGTAGCCAAGAATGGTGACATGGGATCATGTCACTGAAAAATGATTGTAAAGTCACTCCAAGCCTAGCAGAATGACTTTTGGACAGTTGTCTTCCATTGATACAAAAATACTGCCTATCTTGATTGATATGTCACGTCTTGTTTACTCTGGTAAATATATTTTGGTGCTTCAGACAACAAGTTATGAGTGTATGTATATATATGTATACCAGCCCCACATTTCTTGACCTTTAAACCAGCTAGGCCTTTGGTGATCCTAGATTTTCATCTTTTGACAGTTACATCATTATTCTTATTAGTGGGATCCATCTCTTCATCTCCTCTTACCCCTTTTTTGCCTAATCCTTCACAAGTTGAATTGTATGAAGTTTTGTGTGATAACTGATCTTATTAGCTAGGAAATGCCTCATCCCATTTTATTCTGTTGTTTCTCTTCCTCTTTTATTTTTCTGTAGGTGCACATTGACACAAAGAGTGCCTCACAGATGTTTGAGATGGTCAAGAAGAGGCTGAAGCACACAGATGCTTACCCATATTTACTATCCATTCTCCAGCACTGCTTGCAAATGCCTTGTGAGTGTTTCACTCCTTCTGAGGCCTAGGAGACTGTGATAGCAAAGAGAAACCCCATAGGTCACTGAAGTATGACTTGTTTTAAGTATTTTCTACAGCTTTGTAAACTTGAACTCTTCTATGAAGACTCATGGTCAATACACACAGATTTTCTGTCCTTTCCCCTCATGTTATTTGGGAATAATTTTATACTTGAATATTTCAGCTTCCCTGGTGCAAAATTAAGCACAGAGGATGTTTCCACTTGAGAACTTGTCACATGGATGTCATGTGCAGTAGTAGTTTTCAGTTATCTGTAGCTCTTGTCTGAGTTATGTGCATCTTTAAAGCAAGTATTCATTGGTTGTATCCAGTGGACACATCCATGTGAGTTCATTTTTATTAGAATAGTGCCCCATTTGCGTTTTATCACACCGTGATTGCAGTTGGACTCTCTACATATCTTTGACTAAGGTTTTTTTTTTCATTTACTTAATTGTTAAATGAAAATTTGTAGTATTTCCAGAGCTCCATATTCTAGGGAAATCTGTAGCATGTTTAGAACTGGTAGGTAAGAATTTGTGTGTGATTATGAAAGAATTCTGACATTCTGCAAAATTACTACTTTTTGTTGTCATTGGGTTTTAAGTGCTTTGGTTGAGTAAGCAGTATTTACACACTAAAGCACCAGTGATGCGCTAAGGCAATTAAAAAGCACAAAAATGAATAGAAATTAAATGTTTGCATTGTTAATTGAAATGCTAAAGCAATCAAGGTATAATAAGTTAATACATACTGGTCTTTGATATGCTATATTAATGTATGCTAGACATATCGCTAAGGTCCCCATCCTAAAACTTCCTTGATATATCTTAGTGTCTTGCAGTCCAATGACTCACAAGAAATTTGAAATACTGATGTTAGTCAGTAAGCTGACTTTGTTAGGTGGCAAAGAGAGAATCTGTTCTTCCATTTCTACTGTTCAGCACTAAAAGAGAAGTTCATATAATTGTTTCAGCCATCCAGGGACCTGAGATCCTATAAAGGCTGCACACTCTCCATGTATTGAAAGTTATCAGAAGTGTCACTGACTTCCCACAAACACAAGGAAGCTGACATAGAGCTCTCCACAGAGTTGTGCCAATGAACAGCTGGTTTCTTGTAACATGCTTTTTGGTTTCCACTCAAAATCCTTGAACATACAACAGCCTCTTTTTCTTTAATGGCAATGTAAAGAGAATAGATGGATGCTGTCCATCTGGAAGCAGAGTTCTTCTTGATTAAATTACAAGATTAAAAGAAAAAGATACTAAGAATAGACATGCTCAGTGTTTGAGAAACAGGTACCATCTTTAACTGATGAAGAATAAGGGTGTTGTTTTTTTAAGCCACTAGTTAGTGAAACTCCAAGGGGAAATTTCACATAAAGCACTTAATTTTCTTGGCATCCCATGGGAATGAATAAATAAAGACTCTCAAGCCCTAATTGGAAAATCCAATTAGCAGCTTCTCTTCAAGACATGTGATACAAATTCAGGGATTTTAACCCATTTGATTTGATAATCTGTAGATTATTTCCTTTCAATCACTTGTGCTAGGCAAGGATATCCTTCATTCACCTTTTCCACAGAGGCAGAATTAAGGTTTAGCAACAGACCTAAGGTTCTCAGTCTTCAGAACTTGGAGAGGTTGCTTTTTGTGCTACAACTACTAGGATTCCCCTCCCATGCTGGCCAAGGGACAATGGGAGTTGTAATCCAAATAAAATGGCTAGGATCCTTTTGGGAAATAAGGATCATAAAGTTTTTGTTGGCAGAGCACTTCATGGTTGACCTAGCAATCTCTGGCTTGTAGCTATACAAGCCAGAGATTGTCCCATTGATAACAATGAGGATCTCTGCTTGTGGAAAGGGTTAGTGGTTTCCCTTGCACAAGTGATAGGGAAGAAGAAACTGTGCACAGAAATGAATGTTTAGGCTGCAAATCCTCACCAGCAGGATGCTAGCTATGTGATAGGGAAGAAGAAACTGTGCACAGAAATGAGTGTTTACTCACCGACAGGATGCTAGCTACTGGTTCTGATCTTTGTCAGCCTTTTGTACTCTCCTGCTCATTCAGAAATTAGGATGCTCATGTGGCCCCTGCTCCCAAAACCACAGTCCTCATCTGTTCCACTCTGCCCAAGAGCTTTGCAATCTGGAAGGGGGCAGTGTGCACCCCAATGAACTTGCACGATTGGGTGTTCCAACTGCATGGAAGAGATAACATGATCTTTTAGCTTTTGCCTAAACCCTGGGGGGGGCAGTGTGCACCCCAATGAACTTGCATGATTGGGTGTTCCAACTACATGATCTTTTAGCTTTTGCCTATATCCTGGACATACTAAGATGGTATCAGTGATGAACAGTAGCATGGAATTGTAACTAATATACAGAACTTTCCTTGGTATACGTTCTTTAACTAAATGGAGTCATGTTTTTCAAGAGGGTCTGCATCCTCTGTAGAGAGGACGAGCAGAAGAGCCACTTCATTTGCATCCTTATTCTCCTCTATGACATGATCTTTCCATGCTGAATTATGAATTCTTGACAAAGCAGGTTACTTTGACACTTTGAAAAAGTATCAAATGTAATGTTTTTGAACCTTCACAAGAGTTCTGTCCTTCAGCATAAGAACGTGAAAGTGAATGTTTTCTTTTTTAAAAGAGATTTTCACAATTTGTGCTATGCAAACCCGCTCTGTCCTAAATTATTATATGTCTCCTTTATGAAGCAAAGCACGCATATAACAGAAGGGCTGGTTGATTGGCCAAAATCTCGTTATTCATTGCTAGTTGCTTGTAAGAACATACATGCTCATCTTGCAATCCTATTCAAAATGGTTCTAAGGGAATTTGACCAAATAATCAATGGTTGGTGAATGGGAAAAGGTTGACAACTCACAAACAAACAAACAAACAGGAGGCAAGAAATCCATAAGAAATAACCTGAATAGCAATGACATTGTCAAATAGGGCCCATTGTTAACATTCAGAGAAAAGTACCAGGAATTTAGTAAGTTCTTTATGAAAGCTTTTGTATAGACACTCCCTAATTTTTCTTATTGCCATTTGTTGTTGCAGATAAACGAAATGGGGGAACTTTTCAACAATGGCAGCTGTTAGACAGGATATTGCAGCAAATTGTTCTTCAAGATGAGCGAGGGGATGATCCTGATGTAGCTGCTTTGGAGAACTTCAATGTTAAGAACATTATTAAGATGTAAGAAATTCAATAAATAACAGTATACTTCCTGTTATGCAATAAGACAAATACGAAATTGCCTTTACGTATGACATTTCATAAAGATGGAGATAACCAGAAAACAGCCACTAGAAATTGGGCCTTCTTGGCAGTAGCTCCACAACTGTGGTCACACCCAAAGTCCACCTGGCCCCCTCACTAAAAAGTTATTAAAAACCTGGCTATTTAGACAGACCTTTCCAGAACAAATAACATCCTGATGCAACAGTGCTTCTGATAATGTAACATTTAACATACCACCATGGTTTTATGCTATTAAATGTAATGTATTGTATTGTATTCCACTATGTCTCCTACTGCATTTTATGGTATTTTGTTTTGCACTTTTAATTTATTGATGTTGTTATATTTTGTTATTCTATTTAGTTGTTACAAACTGTCCCGAGTGGCCTTGGCTGCCAGATGGACTCTGTGTGTGTGTGTGTGTGTGTGTGTGTGTAAATTAATTAATTAATTAATTAATTAAACCTTAGTATAAGAAAAGATGCCAAATTTCCACCTAGCATAATTTGCATTAGGAGTGACATCTTACAGTAGGATGTTAATTTCCCATCAGTGGGCTAATAATAGTATAAAAAAGATTTCCCAGAAAATGGCTTTTCTTGTTCCCATAGGGGTATTTGTGTTTAATTACATTGGAATGGATCTCATGTGACATGGTTTCATCTTCATTCAGGTTGGTAAATGAGAATGAAGTGAAACAGTGGAGAGATCAGGCAGAGAAATTCCGAAAAGGTATGTAACTATCCTCTACTCTGTAGAGGGAGAAGAAATTGATCTTTTAAAACCCTTTTTAAATAAATATAACATAAACTTAAAATACACAAACCAAAATACAATTTAACCGTGCTCCCCAACACCATAGACGGGACCTCTTGCTGTAATCTTCTTCTTCCTCCGTCTATATTCTTCTTCTTCTATTGTCCTCTTCTCCAGAACTGCATTGATTCTTGATTTGGAGCTTTTCCTTTTCCTCTTGTTAAAACATATTCCAAAAATTTGCCCCATATTTCATAAAAATTATTCTTTTTCAACTCTCCTTTCTTAACCTTTAAATTACAAGTTAGTTTATCATTTATAGCTATATTGCATATTTTATTATACCGTTCATTGATTTGAAATTCAGATTTTGATTTCCATTGCCTAGCTATTATCAGTCTAGCCGCTGTTAATAAACTGGTTATCAATTATTTAGTCATCTTATCATATCCCATATTCTCAAATATTGATAACAAAGCAATCTCAGAATTACATTCTATATCTTTTTCACATATGTCATTTAATTCTTTAAAATTTTGTTTCCAAAATTTTGGACTTTTAAAACTTAGACCCAGTTTAAAAAAGTTTCCCCTTGTTCTCACTGATATAAATCTTAAAACCCTCATTTTCCATATCTTCCTCCATTCTTCCTCATTTAGTCTTGTTCCCACACTATCTTCAGTCTTTCTTTCTCGCTTTTTTCTTCCTCTAAATCAAGAAGTCCATAAATTTTACTCACTGTACCCTTTACAGAATCCGTCATCTGAATGTCTTCAAATCTGATAATAAGAATTGTTCATACTTTGTGTATTCTCTGCCTTTGTTATATTTCTTTACCCATTCATTAGACCATCTTTCTAACTGCATATAATTCAACCATGAAATATTCTTATTCTGAA